TGCCACGCAAAGCACAGCACGCCAAATTATTACTGGGGAATTCAATTTTTTTTAATTGGACCACATTTTTTGCCACAGTTTTGAGACGAAAAGAGGGTGAGAGAGAGAGGAAAAGAGGGCAAGAGAGAGAGTGTTGGGGTACCTGTGTATCCGTTGCCTGTCTCGCGTACCCCCAGGGGTGAATGTACCACAGGTTGAGAAACTATGGTATAGACAGTGGAGATCCTGGATAGTTGTCTGAACTTTCTCTCCTGGAGAAATGAGCTCCCTGCCAGTGACCCAGTTTCATCAGCTTGCAAGAAAAGGGGTCCACGGGGCTAAAGCAAGTGACAGGTACATTTCCTCTGATTATTAATTCATTAGTAGCGTATCCTTCAGCTTGATGGAGTGGCTTGTGTGATTAGTTATCTACTTAAATGACACGGTTACCAGAGCACAAGTCCTTTGGCAAACGGGATGGGGTTTGTGCTGCCTCCTGTTGCGGCCGATTTGGCATGTGTCTCGGAAAAATGGAAAGAAAGAAGGAAAAGTTGGGCTTGCTAAGAGGGGTCGACAGAAGCACATCACTCAAGCGCCGGTACAGTTTCAGTGCATGATAACTATGGCTTTGACTTTTGGACCAAAGGAAGGCTCGGTCCTCAGGAAACATTTCCCTCGCGTCATTTCATCGTCAGCCATTGCAGTCCCCGGACGTGGCACAAGCTGTGCTTCAGCAACTTTGCACGTATCCAAGGAGCAAGCAGATGCTTAATGTTGATGTGCTTTTGCAGAGATTTCAACCCGGCTCCCGCTTCCTGTGTGTTTAGTCTCCCGTGTGTCTCTCCTTTGCTGGTTTGCTCAGGTCGTGAATTGTACCATGCCAGCGATGGCCAGACTGATGTGGGGCTGCCGCAGCGTGCCGTGGTAAGGACTGAAAGGGCCGTGTAGGTAATACAGGAAGTAACCACTGGGTGGCTTCCGTGTCTGCGTAACGTTTTTCCAGGATAAGCCTCGCTCTGAATGCTGCCCTGGGTTGTCTTGCAAAGCTGTGACAGAAAGGTTGTTTGCAGTCACTTAGCGTGCAGTCCTGCTTTGCCCAGCTTCCCTGCTCTGCCCATATAGCCCAATGCATGTAAACTACCCTAGAAGGAGATGCTAGGGAGTAGTGCAGAGGAAGCCCAGGGATGGCTCTGCCCCAAGATGAGAAGTCCTTCTCAGCTGGTCTCCTCTTGCATTGAGGTCACATGGTCCTCAGCAGGGTGCAGGGTGAAGTAAGGACCTCCACTTAGCATGGTCCTGGATCGATGGATGTGGTATTCACCTAAGAGGACCTTGAAGGAAGCCCGGTGGCTCTCTCAGCTAATTTTGGGCGTTGCTGATTCCCAGGCACCTCTGTGCCTGTAGCAGGCAGCCATGTTCTGCAAACTGGTTCATCTTTAGGGGCAAACCGAGAAGGAGCAAGTCAAAAATCCAGCCCAGCCTTGGTCCTTTATTCCTTGGCCAGTTGGAGTTTTTTTCCCCTGCAAGAGTGGCTCTTTCAGTGATCTTTTAGGCCTGTCCTCGAAGAATGAGCCTGCGGCAACAACTCCATTGCCACTGACTGCTGAACAGGCAAGGAGGAGTGAGACTGCTGGCAAGACACTCTGGAAAGCCTGAAGTTTTCTTCAGTTGGCCGTGATCTGTCTTCCAACCCATCTCGACTTGTGGCAGAGTGCATGACCAGCACCATCATCCCATTGCGTGCTAGCCTTTAGGTGGTTGCTCTGCTCCATGTACTCTGCTGGCAACAGGTCCACGAGCCAGGCTTCATTTTACAAGAAAACTCATGACAGCTATTGGGGAAGTAGCTCAGATACAAGCCCATGGGCTGGCCTCACGTGGGGCCAGACTAGTATCTGTCACTGTGGTCCTTTGCAAATCAGCTGCAAATAGCTGGGCTGGGGACTCCAAAGATCCTTAGGAGGCACCAAGTCTGATTTCTTATCTTCTTTCCATCCTTTCTATAATGCCAGGAAGGGGCATTTGAACCAGTGTGAAGGGCGGGGAGGTCATCCTTGTGCTAGTGTGTGACCGGAAGTTGTGGGGGCAGAATTTGAGCTTGCTGTAAAATGTAGGGTGCCAAATTCCTCCTCCTCCTTCCCCCTCCACCCACCTATTAGTTGCTTCCTCTGTGCACAGCAAGGTGAGTCCTAGATTGGTGGAGTTCATCCCTCCCGGAGTCGTGTTTGTCCGGTGGAACAGGAATGGGCGTGCCGAGTGCATGCTTCGTGGGGATCTTTCAGGGGAGGCCGGCTGCGAGGCTGTTGCTGGCTGACCTGGCAGGTTGCAGTCAGCCCACGGGCTGCCTGGCTAGAAGACCTCTCCTGCCTGGCAGCCTGTTGCACAGGCAGGAGCTCCTGAGTGTTGAGACCCGTATCCTTGGTTGTGGAGATGACACACATTTAAACCTGAGCCTTGGCCAGTCTGTGAACACAGGGTGGAGTCTGGGAGAGATAAGGCCTCCATTACCATGCTGCCAGGAGTAGGACTTGGTGCTGTGGGGGAGCATGCTAGTTTGGGTACCAGGAAGCTTGAACTGTATCTCTCTTCTGTCATTTGGGCCCCTGCCAAACGCAGGTAAAGATGTGATGGGATTTGATGCACGTGGTCGTGTTTCCTGCTGTACCACATAAGCACGGCAGCAGGCGTGATTGTAGGATCATAGGTCAGATCCCACCACACCTTATTGCTCGTGTGAGCCCGGGTCAGCGTGGTGCACCCCTGCAGCTGGGAGCCCCATCAGCTGGCAAGACCCCCAGCCACAGGGGCACACCTGGCCATACGTTCAGCTAATGGTGTGAGAGAGACCAGTCACAAAGTTGTTACACATTTCCCGTAGAACAACTTTGTGGCTTATTCCTCATTTCAGCACACCATTAATTGATTGAACATGTGGCTGAGTCACATCTTAAGATGAAATTAACTGGTTAATTAAGCCGTAAGTGTAGTGTGTGGCAAGGGGCCTTGGCCTCTGGGTTGAGTTCAGTGTTTCCCCATCTGGAAAATATAATGGTGCTGTGACCTCCTTTGTGAAGCACCTGGGGATATGCTGACGGAAAGCGGTAGGTGAGTGCTGGGTGGAGGGTGGAGAGAGCATCATCCTCATCATCACCCCTCTTCCTCCCCTGCACAGCCCGC